TTTTTTTTTGCTACGGTCTTGTACTTTTTTTCCATACAAAGTATGCTCGAGAAACTTTCTTATATGGAAAAGTTTAAGTTAGTTAGTTACTTAAAAAAATCGGACAAAAAACACTGAGATATAGAATCTCCCTACGTTCCTTACCCTAACAGACCTAGATATTATTTGTATTTGTATTTATTTGACGTTTTTTATCTTCTTCTTCTAATATGCACTACAACTACTTGAAGATTTGAGCATAGGACAGAAAAGTTCGTAGACGGCCTTTGTAAAGTTTCGCCACTTGTTCAACTCAAGTGCAACAAGTCATTCTATATTTCTTTTCTCACTTGTTTTCGGTGTGATCCCTGGGTGCAGAAATGGAGGTTTTTTCGCCAGAGCACCATCGTATGACATGTCTAAGTCAGTGCAGTCATTGATTCTTAATTGATATTCCTCAGCCTACCGAAAATGGCCATATATTTTCGTGGATTAGTAAACCCGAAAGCTCCTAAATTGATTGATCTTTGCTCGATATCCTCCTCCTTTCTGTTGAGAAGGCTCTGGTTACCATTTTCATGACTAATACCATTACAACTACCTTTACCAAAAGTATTACCATAACTATAATTTTATTTATTTTTATTAGCCGACTTCAAAAAAGGAACAGGTTATTAATTTGTCGGAATATTTTTTTATGTATCCTACCGCCTAACTTTGGACCACTTTAACCGATTCCTATAATTTTTTTTTAAGGAAAGGTGGTACCTCAGAGGTGATCTCATACTAATTTGATTTAGAGCCGATTATTTGATCATAAAGAAATTAACGGTAATCTTAAATTTTTATATGAGAATTGAGCTCGGTTTTCCTTTTTGCTTAAAAATTACTTGTTTTTATTATTCTTTCAAAACTACGCTTATTTTTAAGGCAGAAAAACAACTAAAAAATTTATTATTAAACTTCTTTAACAAAACTGAATATTGTCCGAAAAAACAGGAGTATGTCGGTTTACTCCTCATTATTTTCGGTCTCTAGTTTGGGAACAAACTGCTTCATGTTTTTCATTCGTTAATTTTCAACTACCTCTATGTCAGGTCACACCGAAGAATATCCTCGTTTGCACTTCCTTAATTTATTTTAAATACAATTTTTTTACAAGCATATGAAATTTAAAATAGTTTTTTTTTATCTCTCTACCCCACAGCTACATCATTCGCTCCGACGATGACTCAGTATCCGAGTATGCGATAGCCTGGCCGGTGCTGTGCGGTGTAGTGGGTGTTTGGTTACTCACGCTGGGCATACTTCTAAAGCGCGTTTCATTTGTGTGTAAACTTTTCAAGATACTCATACATAATTCTACAAAAAACTTAAGGCAATACATATTTTAATTTCTTCCGTTCTTTGCAGATCGGCAAATTTTTTCGTTGCATTTGCGTCATCATGTTCGCCATTTCCTTGGCAATATTCGTACATCTCATCATCTACATTAAACTCGACTGGGACACTTTCGTGGGCTATTTTAAACCAGCACTGCAAAGCAGCTTTAGCGGCGTTCTGGGTGGTTTACGCACAGCGATTTTCATGTCAACCTGGTTGCTGGGACCCGGTTGGGGTAACGTGCTCACGCTCGCCAGCCACAACCGCTTTCAACGCGACTCTGAGAAGCTGACCTACTGGGTGAGCGGAACACACATGCTGTTGGCGTTCATGGGTATGATTTGTGGGCGGATCGCTTTCGATCACTTCGAAGGTACATACATAATGCGCGATAAAATATTTAGCATAATGAAAACAGCAAATATTAATAATGCCAATCGTTATTACCATCTTCCGGCAGATCACGTTGGCTTCCTGCACTTCCACTTCGATGAGGAGCATTATATGCAATTTCTTTATCTTTGTTTTGCATACCTCTTTGGCAGTTTTACAAGTTTGCCAAATTTCTGGTGTTTTCTATTCTTCGCCATGATTTTTCTCGCCGAACTAAGTGCAATTGTGAGTGCTGCTATGCATCATTGCAAGGCGCATGCAATGTCATATTTAGCGTTAATTTATCAATTTAAGTGACTTTTGTAATTGCAATTTCTTTTGTTTTCCCAGATAATTCAAATGATGTCCGTTCTAACCGCTTTATTTGATGAGTACGAACAATTGCGAACAAAGAAATCACGCATTACAATCGCTCTGGCGCTGTTGATGCTGACTGTATCAATTTATTTTTGTACCAAGGTAAGTGTGTGTATGTATGCATGCGTTGACATAAAAATGTGCGCGTGCGTGTGTTTAAATGACTGATTAATTTAGAATAATCTATTGAAAATAATTACTTGTTTGCGAACAATTAAAATTGTCGCTGTAGAGGCTGAAGATACAAGTAAATACAATTTGAAGGCGACAGAAAGTGTCACACTAAAGATTTATGACTTCGCTTTTATTTCGCTATTCTAAAACCTCATTATGAGTGGATTTTTGAGACTAGTATATATCAGCGCGGGGCTTAGATATAGGTTAGATTAAGGTGATGTCCCCAAGAAGGCCTCAGTTAGACGTTATGTAAATTGTCCATTGCATTACCACATTGTAGAATTCCTGAACGATAACGTCAGGTAACCCGTGTGAGGTTAAGAGATGAGATGATTTGCTCTTGTCCAGCTAGACCCTGCGGAGGTTGGACTCCATAACGATGTATAGTAGCACCGCGTGTGTTCCTGAAGGTCAATGTCCACTGAGTCAGCTGCAGATGGTCCCTTGCTCGACTGCGTTCAACAACCGGCCAGAAAGGCTAAGCGCCCGCTTAGCCGAATGTAAGCTCTTCAATTCAGGAGCAGTCCGCCAGATGCCTTCCCTGTCCGAGATGATGATGAGATCGAGCGTATTTTACCTAGCCAATTCATCAGGTTTGCAATATTCGGTGATGTCACCATGTCTTGGTACACAAATTACCTTGATTAGGAGACACTAGGAGACAATTGAGGAAGACGTCAGACATTATCCGACCAATTTTAAACGTACCATGAGCGATCCTGGCGCGCTGTTTGCAGCTTGGCTATCAGAGTATATATTCGCACTTCTAACTAATCGGCAAAACACTGATACGCAATCAATTGGCTACCTCATTTATAGCAGCCAACACGGCCTACACTACATAAATTCCGCAGCCTGAATAAAAGATTTGCTAAGGGATCCTGAACACATGTAATGGACCTATACTCCAGAGGCTGATATTCACCCTTTGGAGGGATATGTGTTCAAAAGGAGCCGCTTCGGACCAGCCCCGGAGCGCTCCGATCCATTTCTTCTGGTAAGAAGTCAAAGCTTTTAAGAAATGCCAAGTTCTTGCAAGACGGTTGAAAGAAGAAACCAGAGATTTTTAGCCTAATGGCGGAGCGAACTATGGCAACTTTACCAGCATATCAACAGGTGTGACACTGAGCAAAGCGTTAAGCGCTATTCCAACAAAGCCATCCTTTCCACCCACTCTATCTTCTAAACAAGATTACATTTTTCTATAGAATTTCAAAAAACAATGATCCTATATAACATAAGGATATTTTAAACCTTGTTTACCTTGTTTGTTAACCGTCGTTTTTCAAAGAGTGACAAGGACTCCGTATTTATTAAAAGGGCCGCCCGCGAGTGTCTTTTCTGCTCCAGCCGCACTACCTTCCAGTTGTGAGCAAGTAACTCGGGATTAATGAGCCTTATAATCTTGAGCTCCCTCTCAGCTTCGAATGGTTTGGCTGGTATCTATGCTTTTACTCTGGGCTTGGATGGGATATCCTTGAAGTCCACAGCCCGCAACATCGAGCCGGGGTAGACCTATCCCAGTCTGGCAATCGCCTTTTTGTATAGGTCCGCAAACCTCTAATCGTACCATACGATGACCTTAACGTCGCCCTGAAAACAACCAACATCCCGGAAAATTGAAGGCATCTTAACTTACTTCCAATAGGCTCTCAGTGCCAGTTCGTCGCCCGGGTTTTCATCCAGTATACCCAGGAGGATCCAGTTTTCTGCAGCCTCTGCAATATTGTGTCTTGCGTTCTATTCCTTTTCGGCTTGTTCTCGATCGATCTGTTGCGCTTTTCTGCGGCCTGTGGCTTTCCGATCACCGGCAGCTGACTGTCGAGCACTATCTTCATTGCCCGCGGATTTATTCGACGTAATAGGGCAGCGCTCTTCTATACAGATCCTGTGTCAATGCGGATTTCTTCAACATCCTCATGGCAGCTCTCCGATGGCTGCACTCTGGCCTGTCGTCAGATCTTTTGAAGGCAGCAGGTGTAGGGTGCGGAGGGCCCCCAAGTAGTAGTAGGGGGTAGTAGCGGGGCTCTGCATAGCAGAAAACTTTTTATTAAATAAAAAAACGGTCTCGAGCTCAATAAAAATTATTGAATATAATTGTTATAAGGCCATAAAATAATAAAAACAACTTTGATTTTAAGACAATGAAGTCTAAAATTTTAAGAAATTTAAAATAAAAAAGAGAATTATAATAATTAAAAAAAAAAATAAAAGAAACGAGTTTAATAAAACAAAAAGACATTTAATTAGAAAGCGAAAAAACAAGATAAGTCCCTAAAAATTAAAAAAAAGAGAAAAAATATTTTGATTTCAAACGAAATTTCCAGGATAAACAGAAAACTGGATTAAAATAATAAAAAGAAAAATAATTATTATAAAAAACAGAATAAATTTAAAAAAGTGTTTTCCTTTTTAAATCCACAACGTAAAAAGATTAAAAAAAAGTACTATAAAAAGAACAATAAATAAATTAAATAAAAAAAATACAAATAAATAAAATAAATTCCTGAAAATTTAACGAAATTTAAAAAAATATATATTTAATTAGAAAAATATTAAAACAAATACAGTTTCTAAAAATCTATGAAATCAAAAATATTTTTTTTTTAAACAATAAGATCTAAGAAAAAAAAATGAAATGGGAACAAAGAAGAGATAATAAAATAAGTTCATAAAGATTAAATTTAATTTTGAAAAATATGTTTCATTCTAAAACAATGTAATCTCGAAATAAATGTTTTTCTTTTTAATGCCACATTTAAAATATAAAAAGAAAAAAAATATAAAAACAATATAAATAAAAAAATTCCTAAAAGGTTTATAAAATTTAAAAAATATATATTTATTCAAAAAAAATTCAGATAAATAAAGTTTTTAAAAATATATGAAATTAGAAATATATTTTTCTTTTTAAATCAATAAGATCTAAAAATAAAAAATGAAAAAAAATAAAACAAAAAACAAGAAAAAAAAATAAGTTTATAAAATTAAATTAAACTAAAGAAGATATTTTTCGAAAAAAGAAATATAAAAAAATTAAATTAAATTCAATTAAAAAAAGAAAATAAAGCTAAAAATTTGATGAAATTCTAAATATATATATTTTTTTAACAATTGTAAAGCAACTAAAATTAAAGGAAAATAATACATAAAACTAGTTTCTAAAAATTTAATTAAATTTAAAAATATACATTTTTCTTTTTAAAACAATATCTATACATATAATAAAATTGTAAGAGGTCGCTGTCTATACATTATTGATATGAAAGAAAAATTATTATGGGATTGGGGGCGTTAGAATTTTTGTCGTCTGTCTATATGTCTGTACGTTAATACGCGCATCACTCGAAAACGAATGCATAAAATTTATATAAGAAAGTAGTGCCACGAAAGTTGCAAGGGAACATTTTCTTGTAAGACTTTCGTGCCAGAATAAATAAAAAAAAAGTCAAACTATCAAACTATCTTAGACAGAATTGCCGTTTTAGCCATCACAAGATCCTCAAACGGCAAGTGATATAATTAGCCTCTAACTAATTGTAAATAATTTCAATATTTTATGAAACGCAAAAAAAAAACCTTTTATACAATTGCTCTCTTTACTTTTTCAGAAGGGCTTCGCACACCTGGATCTACTGCCCAACATTGTCATTCTATCGCACTTGATTATCTCATTCGTTTTACTACTGATGACCACTTGGATTTACGGACGTGAACGCTTTCAATGCGATCTGCAATTTATGTTGGGCAAAACGATTTCGAGTTTTAAAATATTTTTAATACGATTTCTAACGCCAGCATTTTTTATGCTAAGCATTGTGAGTAAAAAAAAAAATAAAAACTTCTGAAAATAAATTTGTTTAACCATTGCCTGCAATAAATTGTGTACATATTCTTTCGCACACAGATTCAGACACTTTACTTTCTGGAGCGGGACAACTCACCAACTGCACTTGTCATTGTCAGTCAATGTGTGATCTATGCCATAGCACCTGCCTATATGATTTATAAAATTTGCCAAACTACTGGCACATTGCGTAATAGACTGAAACAATGCTTTGCACCGCACGACTGGCATCCTGTCGATGCTGATAATCGACGATTTTACGAAGAGATTATGGGCGTATCGGAATTGCTGGTAATGGAGGGCGGCGAAGAGCACTATGCTGTGAATGCTTAAAAATTGTACATGCAAGCATAAATACGTTTATAGTATGTTTTATTATCAATAGGTGTGGTAACCCTGCTGTAGTATTAGACTGGTTTAGAACTAGTGCTAAAGTAATGCAAAAAAAAATTGTTCCCAATTTACTGCAGGGAAACTACATTTATGTGAAATAAAACAACGATCATACATTTGTGTATATGTATGTCTGTATTTGCTTGTATGCAATTGCTTAGATGTGAATTATAGTAATAATATATGTATGTTAATTACGAATATACAAAATACATATGTATGTCTGTATGTAGTTTTTTTTTGGTTTAAGTGCGAATATAGAATTTATAGTAATGTGCGTAGTTTTTTAAGCTGCCTTTTTTATAAGAGATTATGAGTCAATTTATATACATACATACACGATTATATTGTATTGAAGTGATATACCAGCTAAGAATACTCGATTATACTAATGCATGCATGTGTGTAGATTATGAAAAAAAAAATACAATAATGTATTTATAGTAATTACGTAAAATAATTATGTATTTAAATATAATGTGTATGTTTTTTCAATGTCAAATGGGCTGAAATAGATTAAAAACAAAAATGCTGAGAAAAGTGTACAACAGAATTTTTCATTTCCATATGTATATAACCAGTTTGTTGGAGCTGCTGCATTGCAATTTCGCTTAAAATATTTTGTTATGAAAATTATTTAAGAACTTTCAGCTATAAATTGGCATCAACCAGAACTAACCATACAGTTGTAAAACATACGGTATAAAAGCCAAACAATTTACATCAGCCGTATATACATAGGGCAATTCTGGCAACTATCTTTCAACTCGCCACAGTCTTTCGAAAGGCAAAAATCTCCCGTAAGGCAATGGTCAATTCGGGCAACTATCTTGAGATCTCTTTACTGTCTTTCGAATGACTAATTTAAAGATCTGCTAAGAGCAAAGCAAAAAAAACTTATATATGGGCGATTCCACCATCACGGGTTGGACATTTGTACAAAAAAAATTTTGTTTCTTGTTTAAATTTAAGTATAAAGTACTCAACAATTCTACAGTTTGATTAAGCTACACCTAATTGGCTTTTATTTATATGAGTGATTACAAAATACGAAAAAATTCCTGCTTAATTTTATATGGAAAAAATCTGATCTGTGACAAAAAAAAGAACCTGCTTTTTGGAGCTGATATATTTTACGGAAACTCTGCGAATTTATTTCACTTTTCTGTGCGAACTTGATGTCTTACAATAAAACAAAGAACCTGGAGCACAAACGAAGCAAAAACATGGCATTATTATACGAAAAATCCGAAATTCCTCTGTCACGGGTGGGACAACGTTTGTCACGGGTAGGACACGTACGAATTTTTATATGAAAGGGAGCTTTTAGTGTGGTCCATATATAAATATTAGTTATTAAAAAATATAAGAAGCCAAGTACGGGTTAAATTCACTCACGTTTTATCTTAGGATGGTGCCTTTTATATAGAAAAATATGCTTAGCACCGTAGGAAAAAAACCTACTTAAATTTAATGGACTATAAAACTGCATACCTAAAAATTCTGAACAAAAAGTTTGAAATTTTTTGGTGTAGTTGTTAAATTTTGTTGAATTTTTATAATTTTTTTAAGAAGTTTGAAATGTAGAGTTATGCAGTTCTGGTTAGGTAATGTGCTTGACTTTTATAAAAAAAAAANTTTTACGGAAACTCTGCGAATTTATTTCACTTTTCTGTGCGAACTTGATGTCTTACAATAAAACAAAGAACCTGGAGCACAAACGAAGCAAAAACATGGCATTATTATACGAAAAATCCGAAATTCCTCTGTCACGGGTGGGACAACGTTTGTCACGGGTAGGACACGTACGAATTTTTATATGAAAGGGAGCTTTTAGTGTGGTCCATATATAAATATTAGTTATTAAAAAATATAAGAAGCCAAGTACGGGTTAAATTCACTCACGTTTTATCTTAGGATGGTGCCTTTTATATAGAAAAATATGCTTAGCACCGTAGGAAAAAAACCTACTTAAATTTAATGGACTATAAAACTGCATACCTAAAAATTCTGAACAAAAAGTTTGAAATTTTTTGGTGTAGTTGTTAAATTTTGTTGAATTTTTATAATTTTTTTAAGAAGTTTGAAATGTAGAGTTATGCAGTTCTGGTTAGGTAATGTGCTTGACTTTTATAAAAAAAAAACTATAAATATTAGATTAACAAAATAAAAACCAAAACTGGACAAAATGTAACTTAACTTAATCAGCTGACCACAAGAGTGTATTGATAATGGACGAGTCTGCGCAAAGAATAAAGCTTATCAGCCCTCTCAATCTACCTCTGACAACTGTCCCGCGCATAGCTGTCACGGGTGGGACATGCTTCCCTATTGAATTATTCTTATCTAACTACATGGAAACGACAATTCAATTGTGGTAAATATTTGTAATGAATTTCTAACATTATGTCTACAAACACGAAACACAACCTCAACTTCTGTAATTAAATATAATAACATTTAGCTTTTTTTTGTCACGGGTGGGACAAGACCAATACTGCTCAATAATAACTCATGATATAGATAAATCAGTCCCACAATTTAATATATAACACAATTGTATTAAAAGCAGATGAGTTCTGCTATATATTTTTCTTACCAAACACTTAAATTATGCATCGCAAATTATTTGACAGTGCATTCAACACAACCTACTTTAAACTCAATCAAAAAATTTACTAGATTTCTAAACGTAAACAAAGGTAATACAAATGCATTTAAAGCTTTAATTTGTTATTTTTTGGTTGGTACAAGATTTTTACATACATATGTTTGTTAGTTTTATAAAGAAAATAATTTTCGCACTGAGATCCACTTTCCCATGGCACCTCCCATATGTAAATTTAAATACAAAAATTTTAATAAAGCAAAAATAAATAAAATAAAATCTAAAAAAATGTTAGAAAAATAAAAAAAAATTAAGTTATAAAAGAAGAAAATAGTACCTAAAAGCTAAATAAATAGAAATATTTTTATTATTAAAACTAAATCAGAAAAGTAAAGAAAAATTAATTGAAAAAGATAAAAACAAATTAAATAAAAAAATAAAAAATAAGTTTCTGAGATTTAAATAAATTAAAAAATATTTAGGATTTTTTAAACTACAAAATCTAAAAATTAAAAGAAAATCAAACTAAAACCCATTAAATTTAAAAAAAGAAAAGATTAGTTTCTAAAAATTAAATTAAATTAAAAAAATATTATTATTTTTAAAACAATAACATCTAAACATTAAAAGTAAAATAAGTTGAGAAAAAATTAGAATAAAAATAATAGAAAAAATCAATAAAATATATTTCTAAAAATTAAATACAACTAAAATATATATATAATTTTTTAACTATAAACATTTAAATTTATTAATTGAATAAAAAATAACATTTTAGAAAAGAAAACAAATTTAATATGAAAAAATTTATAAAATAAATTTCCAAAAATTAAATAAAACTAAAAAATATACACACGTCTATTTTTCTTTTTAATATAATAAAAACTAAGAATTTAAAGAAAGTTAACTCAAAAAAGAAAAAAAAACATTTAATTTAAAAGAGAAAAAGGGTCCTAAAAATTAAACAAAATGAAGAAAATATTATTCTTTTTAACACAATAACATCTCAGTAAAGGAAAACTAAATTGAGAAAAAAATTCAATGAAAAATGAAAAAACAAAAATCATAAAATAAATTCTAAAAGTTAAATAAAACTTAGAACATATATATTTTTTCTTTTTAAAAGAAGAAAAATTAAAAATTAAAAATAAAATTAAGAAAACATTTATTTTAAAAAAGAAAAACAAATAAGATCCAAAAATTAAATGAAATTAAAAAATATTATTCTGTTTAAACAATAACATACAAACATTAAAAGAAAAGTAAAGTGGGAGAAAATAATTAAAAATTAAAACAATCTATATAACAAGTTTTAAAAATTAAATAAAATGTTAAATCAAAATGGTTTTAGAATCAATAAAAAATAAAAGATAAACCAAGCAAAATAATTTAAATTAATAAAAAAAAACGAACTCCCTGCTCAAAATTCGCATTCGGATCTCTCGAATGGCTCGTTTATTTTATTATATTGTATTATATTATATTATATTATATTATATTATATTATATT